CAGAAATGTAAAAAGGAATAAACATATAATAGCATGAGATTTGGAGACAGGGGTAGATCATAATGGACGAGATATTTCAACAGATTTGTAGAACACAGAGTGGCTGGGAGTGTCTACAAACAGACTGCAGAAAAGGTAGTTAATGGGATCCCAGAAGGATTTTGGTTCATAAGCCATAGGTACAAGTATTTGAATATGAGAAAAGTAGGGCTAAAACCAGGTATTTATTCAAGGTTGTTATACAGAAGATGAGCTCCACTTGAAATCCTTACCCACCACCTCCATTCTTGTCATTTACCACTAGGCATAACTATGCAGTTCTCCTTTTAGAAAATCAAATGATTTCATTGAAGAAAGATAAGGCTTTCAGTATGGATGTTGGTACCCCAGAATAAATCCTCTCTTCATTCTGAAATTTGGGCAAGTTTACAGTCTCACAACAAACCCATTCCTAATTCTAAAGCAAAGCCTGCCAGATAGCCCACCCTTCCTAAACTTAGCCTACCCAGAAAGCATCTAGTCAAAATTCCCACTCCAGAGAGAGACCTACTGACAAATAGGTCTACTGAGTGAAGGAACACCTGCTGTTCATTGGAGGAAACCCACACTAGCTACCCAGAACCTTATTAAACGTGGATGAATAAGTAATGGTTGACTGATATGGTAGGGTATCATACAGAAATGTAAATAAATGTTACACAGCATACAACAACATGGTTAAATCTCACAGTTTTGAGCTATGGAAGTAGACATTCGAAGACAATTATATTTAATTACTATATTAAATGTACCAATAGGAAAAATAAAACCATAGTAGTTGTGAGAGGGTATCAGATGGTAAATGTATAAAAGTCAAAGAAGTGATTACCCCAAAAGTCAAGATATTGACTACCTTTTGAGGAGTGGGAATTATGGTTGGGAAATGTATACATGGAAGGTTTTTGGGATATTGGCATTGTTCTGTGCAGTGGTTATACAAATGTTCTCTATAATAAGGAGAACATTTATGTTTTTTATGCTTTTCTATATCCATGTTAAATTTCACAGTACAAAATATTTAAAGTTAAAAAGGAGATCCCAGAGGAAACTGAGACAGGGCATTGTTCTGTGCAGTGGTTATACAAATGTTCTCTATAATAAGGAGAACATTTATGTTTTATATGCTTTTCTGTATCCATGTTAAATTTCACAGTACAAAATATTTAAAGTTAAAAAGGAGATCCCAGAGGAAACTGAGACAATTCTGTATATAAGCATTTGTAATCTTTTGTTTCATTCAAAGAACTCTGAGAAGGTATTATATTCATAAAATAAGAATAGGATGCTATGAAAAAAGAAGCAATTAGAGAACACGAAAGAGCTCAGATTAAAAGTATGACTACTGATGTTAAGAAAAGATTAAAGATATAATTGACTTTTAATAAATTCTCAGATTATAAAGGAAGACTAAGAAACTGAAATTTGAGAGGAAAAAAATGATAGAGAATCAGTCTGCGAGGTCCCTTTTCCAACTGAGAATTTCAAAAGAGAGAACTGAGAAAGTGGAGGAAATAATGGAAAAAATTTTTCCCAGAGCTGAAAGATGTTAATCTTTAGTTTGAAAAGTGCCTAGCACAATGAATGTAGGGGAAAAAATAAAAATAAAAATAAAAGACTATACCTAGATTTAACCAATGTTAAAATGAAGATTCTAAACCTTGAAAAAGCAAGTTGAGTGTGAAGAAGGGGGATTGGGAACAAATTGAGCCTATAAAATAATGCCAGATTTCTTACCAGTGATACTAGAAGATGTTGGAGTAGAGGGAGAAGCTCTGAGGGAAAATTATTTTCAACCTCAAATTTGATACCCATATAAAATTAAGAGGGAGAACATAATAGAGACATTTTCAGACAGCAAGATTTATATTGCACATTTATTTTTTGGAAAATAAATTATTTAAGAATGTGATTCAGTAAAACAGGTGTAGACCAAGACATAGGATTGAGGAAACAACAGTTTTAACTCTGGAAATCAAGAAAAGAGAAGTCTCAAGATGACAGCTGTGGAGTATGCCAAGA